AGAGCGAAAGAATGCCTGGGCTATAGTTAAAAGCTAATTAAAAGATAATATTATGGCGTTAGCGATAGACCCAGCCCATTCTCCACGTTATTTTATTATTTCGTCTTTGTTTACGCTGCTCATTTGGTGCGAGGAATTAGCGTGTAATTATTCTGGCTGTAAACATCATTCTTCGCCTGTAGTACAGTTCCACTTTGCAATTAAAAATGGAAATGGCGGTTTACATAAGAGCCACATGGCACGAGGGAAGCAGTGTCAATAGAAATGTTTGTAAGAGTTACTGGAAGCGGAGTGGTACAGGTGTGATCTCTGCCAACCGCATCAGAGAGCTCTTTTTCTATCAACACCTGTTTTCATTTCCTCCCGTGCGTGTAATTATGTATTTGTCATTTCCCCTGAAGCGGTGGCGAAGGTGAAGTTAAATTTGAATGCTTTGCTCTAGCTGCAGACTTTGAATAGTTAATCTAAAAATAAAAATTCTGTCATTTATTCATCCTTGTGTTTTTGACCAATATGACCTTTCAGTGTTTCCCCTAGGTTTACGGCTTTTGGGGGGGGGGGATTTTTTTCCGTTTTAATTTTTCTGGACTCCTTGTTAATGGTTAAATTAAATTTTATTAATCAAAAAACCCTTATGATTTATTGTTACCAAATTCTGTGTTTTAACATGTCTAATTATTTGAAAGCATAAAAACAAGTTTCATTTATTCTTACAATAGCCTAATGATTTTTCTGTGTTGGGTATTTATATTTTTTAAGGCATAAAAAAATATATATTTTTGGAAAATAAAGGGGATTTAATATTACAATTAAAACATTGAAGAAATATTGTATGATTATTGCTGAAAAATAAGGTTTTAATAATTTTAGTAGTTGTAGTAGCCTATTACGTACATTCTACTGAACAATAGTAATATATTTCCGCCGCAATGTCTTCAAGTTAAACCGATTTAACTTTTTTTTTTATTTTGACGGGTTGCCGTGAATACCTTTACATTCCTGTGTTTATGTGATATGATGAGGATAGTTTTACTCAGATGAAACGGCAAAATGCTCACGAAGTGACTCTCAGAGCAGTTCTGGAGATGTTGTTCATGTATTTATGTCTAATAAAATATAGTATAGAGTTTATTGTAATTGAATGCATTATAGACATTATATATCATTTTAATTTTGTAAAAAAAATTCAGACAATAATTTTACATTTTTCTACAAAAATATGTATATCTATTTTATTTATTTATGTATTTTACTTTTTATGATTAGATCAAATCATGAACCTGTTAAAGTAATTTAATTTCCATGTGAGTTTGCAGACTTGCCCCACTTACCCCCATCCATTCTCACGAATACCGGAAAAATGACCATCTCTGAGCTTATTCAGATCTCTTTTCAGAGCGAGAGGGAGGGAATGTATGTATGTATGTTTTTTCCCCCACCAAATTTTAACATTATCAACATTCGCTCCCCTTGCGTTTTCCTGCCTGCGGTTTGGCAGCAAGCCAATAACATCAGGAATCCATCGCAAGCTTTAATTTAGTCTCGGCCGGTAGCTCTAGGTGAAGTGTTTCAGCCGTCTGTCTTTTTCACGAAGTGGAGACAGCCTGTGTTTTTGACAGGGTGCCACAAGCCGGAGATGTGAAACCCTGGCGGCTTTCAAGTGGTTATCAGCGCCCATTTCAGAAGAATGGATTCCAGCTTCAGTACAAGTAGTAAACAAAACCGCGCGTCTGTGCCATTCATTAACACAGAGACATGCAGAATTCATATTTAAATATTCGTTTTGCGGCTTAATATTTACAAATACTAGTGGGAGTGGGAGTGTGCTCACTTGTGTGTGCACGCATCAGGGCGGAACTCCGCTGTGCACAATACAGAGAACGCGATCATGTAACGTAGAGACATAAATGACATGCCGTCATGTAAATGAGATAAATAACATAAGGCTATTTAGTTTGTTTAATAAAAGAACAAGGTATAGACCTGTTCTATAGAAAAGGTAACTTTATCGCAAGCTTTAATTTAGTCTCGGCCGGTAGCTCTAGGTGAAGTGTTTCAGCCGTCTGTCTTTTTCACGAAGTGGAGACAGCCTGTGTTTTTGACAGGGTGCCACAAGCCGGAGATGTGAAACCCTGGCGGCTTTCAAGTGGTTATCAGCGCCCATTTCAGAAGAATGGATTCCAATTTCCAATTTGGGTATTGGCTCTCGGGCTCTGTGTGTCATCTGACCACCTGGAACTGGCCGTTTTTTCTTCTTTCTTCTGTTTTTGTTGATTGATTTTAGCACATAACATGGACTAATGATTACGTGGGTTTGAGTTGCATGTTAAATATCACTTAAACAACCCTCTACATTGCGAGTAAATCACTCGCATATGCGACTAAATCTTCACTCTGGCGCGCTCGCATCGGGGCGGAACTCCGCTGTGCGTGATGCAGAGAGCGTGACCATGTAACGTAGAGACAGAAATGACATGCCGTCGTGTAAATAAGATAAATAACATAAGGCTATTTAGTTTGTTTGATAAAAGAACAAGGTATAGACCTGTTCTATAGGAACGGTTTAAATTATGTTGTGATCTGGCGCTATAGAGAAAATAAAATTAAATAAAATTAACCTGACCTTCAAGGGGGCAGTCCGCCCCCCTAAAAGAATATCAGGGGGACTCACAGAACTCTCTGACTGAGCGCTTCAGTTTCACTCTCCATCAAGCGATCTGTGCTGTTTTTCAATTCATCTGAATGGATGTGCAACGCACCTGTGTTTAACGTACCGTGAACTCTAGTGTGAAGGCGCACGACTCGCCGT